TCGATAACCTAAATGGAGGTGGGTGGTCGCATTAGTCCCGTATCCTATTCGTGGACGGTAGTGTTGGCCGGACGCAGTTTCCCTGTTCAGAAGCTGAGCCGACGGCGTGCAATGTCCTATCCAATCTATGTGTGTATGGGTCTACAGCTAGTAGATACCAAGCGAGTCTAACCACTCCTGGTCTACTACTACTACCAACTACTATCACCATTCCCTACGAATCAACTACTACTGCTATACTGTTACGTGCAAACGTAGGGCGGTGCAAAACCCGTTGTAAGCGTACACGCGTGGATACAGTCGAGCTACCATGCTAGAGATGGATGCTTCCATTGAAGAGACGAGAAGAGGAAGTGCGAGAGATTGTACAGGATGCTCTGGGAGCCTCGCCAAAGATGACAAGGGATGTATAACGGTCAAATTGCTAAAGTTACAGTTCCTCTATCGGATAAATTCCTTCCCTTCATTTTATCATCAATATTGCACCTCTTTATCTTATTCTATATATTATTATTCATTCATTCATATATTCATTATGTTTTTTTTTCAAACGTATTTAATACTGTCTTTTCACAGTCGACAAATATATTTTGTAATTTATCTTGTAATTTTGGGTGTTAATTGTTAAAGTATTATATGACCAACATTTTATACGAGAATTTAAATTAAAAACGTTGATGGTTATTTTAAAATTTTAATTGTAGTTTTTTTTTTTTCCATCGAAATTTTACACAGATTCATAATACAAGTATTGTTTTTAATTAATATTATTAACTTCGGAAGAAAAAATAATTAATCTTATAATAATATATATAAGAGACACAAAAAGAAAAGATATTCTTAAGTTTTAATTATATTTCTTGGCAAATAACCGAACCCCTTTGATCGACGTAGCATGCATTTTCTTTAACAGCTCATTGCAAGTTTATAGATACTTTATTGTGTGGTTATGACAGAGATTATATTTAATATTGCTTCATATGGTTTCGGCATAGAATGGAACAGAATTAATTTTACCATTTCATTTGTTAATTAGTGAATACGTTTGATCACTTCTGATCGGATCGATTTCGTTTATTTTGATGATCGTACAAATGCAAAGCTCGAGTTTGCGTCAAAGTTAGTTATATCAACTCTACAATCCTTCCTCTGTGTTTCTCTCTCTCTCTCTCTCTTTGCTCAGCTATTGATAAGCACAAAATGGTATTATACTACACAATTCAATGAACGGAAACTTTGGATACATTTTGCCAATGAATAATAAAGCAAATAAAAATATAACGAAGATTATGGTTAAAAAAGAAGAAGAAGAAAAAAAAAGGATTATAAAGGGAATTTAAAAAAAGAAAGAAAAAAAAAAAGAATCAAATCGTCTATGTCCACTTAATTGTTTCTACATAAATCATCTTTCTTTTAGTTTTTTAAACTCAACGAATCAGATTCGAAACAACAAGTCGAGCAAGTCTCTTGTACGCATGTAAATTCGAAATCGTTCGAAAATGTATTCTAACAGTGACGTCCATTTTATGGGGCGACTCTATACCATCGAGATTGCCGTAGCTGGTACGTTGAAACCGGTGTCCGTCGGTCCACGAACCACTACTATTCATGAATACCTTGCGCATACGTGGTCCTCGTTCGAAACAAAAGTTACACATAGCATGTTACACGTACGTAGTAGGTATATACGATAGGTACGAGCACAAGTATCGTAATGCATGCTTCGATTTCCAATAGATTGTTTTGTGTTTAGATCGTTTTTGATCAAAGTTTGTTTAAAATCAAGCCCGTATAAACAAATATGATACAATTCATATTAAAACATTTATTCTTTCACATATAATTTAATTTTAATTTAATTTTTCTATTCCCAAATAAAAATATTATTTTTGCATGGGCGCGATGTTATTTGTTTCTTAGGATACAAAGAAGAAGAAAAAAGAAAGAAAGATATAAGAGAAGAAAAGGGACAAATATTTCAAAGGAATCTTCAAAATAAGAGTAAATGGATACTAAAGGTTCTCGCGTTGTCGAGTAAGGATTAGAATAGAAATGGTTTTATCCTAATGATTTAAGCTTCTGCCGGATGGTGAGAACCGTGAGCTAAACGTTCGTAACTCCTGCTACAAGTAACTAGTAATTAAGCGAGGCGCTGCTGTGTGAAACGACTTACCTATATACCTACCTATCTCTACCTACTCTTCTGTTTCACCTCCACCTTTCAACCATCTCGAAAGTGGCCGAGTAAACCGAGTGTGTTCTTGATTTTACTCTCTTACAGCCTTAGGTATAGAAAGATTATAAATATTCTATTGGATTCTTTACACTCATATCTAGAATTTTCTTTGTGATGACTTTTTCTAAGTGGGTATCGTTCATTGTTAATGATTTCGTTCGTAACGAGATTAAAAGTAGGTACTTTATAAACGTTCCTGTTTAAAATCATATTACAAAGATTACACCGTTAAAAGGGCCAAGAAATTGAGCTCCCTAAATTGCCTTACCCTCTGTCTTCTACATCCGACGTAGATCGATCAGACGAATTTTTTATGGAAATTTGTGATAATCTTTTCCAAACTAATTTCAACGACCGAACTACTATACTCGCTGATATTAAAAGATCATTTTTTTTTTTATTTGAGAATATTTAAAACTACAAAATTTTCGACATTTAATTAAATTTTATTTATTTAAAAGTATTAGGAGTTAATTTATTAAATATATATATTTCATTGAATATATGAGATAGACATTTAATTTTGTTCTATAATTAGAAATTGAAAAATTATAAACTAAAGGAAAAATGTTCTACTTCTTTTGTTTTCAATGATGTATCGTTCCCCACTTGTAATTGTATACTAACTGATAAGGTAAGATATAACATAGCGCTGATCCGAATGAAAGCAAATATTCTTCACTTCTCTCAACAATTCAACACACGACCTGCATCGGATTGGTTTAGGTTGCAGAGCAGTAACGTAATCGTGACGTACAACGTTTGTTTCCTACCGCTACGGGCAATTAATGGCTTAATTGGCAATTATAATCGTGATAGGCGGTTTATTCGCGTGTAAAATGAGCTCGGTATTATGGCTCACCTATTTCGTTATCAGAGCAATTTGAAATAGAACAGTGATTAGATTAGAAAAATTCTATGATATCCAATCGATTAATCCTATTAATTTATTTCTTGTATCTATCCTGTTTTCAATTAAATATCAGTATAACATTTGTTCGCAGAGAATGATCTTTTCTTCTCTTCTTATTTCTCTCTTTCTTCTTTATTTTTTTCATTTATATTTTTAATGGATTTTATTTTCGAGCGACACCTTAGTAAAGACATTACTGGTTTCAACGAATGATAAAAGGAGCCCTTTGTAAACCATTGCTATTTATTGCGAAGATGAAGCCATTCCGATATAAAGGCTACAAAGAATAGGAAGCCATTCGCATACCACGATCATTGACAGCTACGAAATCTACTTAAGTTAGAGAAATATAAGTAAGAGGAAAATTGAAAAGTAAGATATGTAATAATCGTACAAGATAAAAAGAAATTGTTGGTCTATTATGTTCATCCCGCAATTCTTACGCGTATGATTTTTCTTTTTTTTCTTTTTTTTAGTTGAAATAAAAATTATCGTTATAAGAGATAAGATGTGAATCGCGTGCTAGAAAGTAAGATTTTTTCTTTTTTTTTTTATAAATGCCATGGGACAGAAATCGCGTGTTTAAAAGTAGACTAAAGGGAATCTACAAACATACTCCTTCAAAGAGAGTACTTCCGACAGAGATAACAGAAGTGTCGTTTAATATACGCACATTGATATCTACGTTCATTTGCATAAAGAAGAATTCTGTCGCAATCGTGGAAGACTAAATGGCCTCGTTCCGTGATAATCGATGAAAATACGCCGACACCCCGTGCAGCAGCTCTTCATCACTCTTGGTATTTCAAAAATTTAACCTTCCATGCTATTGTAATAGATTTTGATGGATGCATTCTAAGATTAGTGTTTAGGCGAATAATGATGATCGTTTGAAAATAATTACCACGATATTTCATAGAATTCATTATGCATATCTCACGCTTTTTAATAATATTTTCTTTCTTCGCAGGATCATCTGATCGTTGAATTGCTATGATATTAATCTGCAAAAGAATGTTGTATTTTTTTAAACTATTTTATTTATATTAAGAATTTGTAGGGGACGATTCGAGGTCAACGATTGTGCTCAGTCAAAAAAAAAAAAAGAAAAATAAACGAAAGATCATATTTCATGCAATCTTCGTTATTTCGAAGAAGCCCCGTTGTTTACTGTTACGGTCAGTTTTAAATAATCTTCATTTCAACGATAACGAGCGAACGGCATGGAAACGAATTTTACCGTGAAACTTCGTCGAATTTCGCGCGTTAGAATGGTTTCACTGTCGTTAAAATTCGCATTCCTGGCAAGCGATAAAAAGTAAAAAAGCGTAAGAAAAATTTCCATCTTATTACCATAACGTTACGTTGAAATATACAAATCATAGGATTATAACAAAATTGACATTAAATTTCTATTCTTATTACTTTATATTACCTATACACGTATATTTTTATATCAATTTTCTTTAATAAAACAAAACAATCTTCTCAATAAAATTTATTTCCAGAAAACAAATCAAAAAATGAATATAAAATATACGCGCTTAGGAATAAAAAAAAACGAATAAATGTTGAGTATATTATTGTGTATAGTGTTAACAATATTGTCTCTTAAATAGGCGAGTTAATTTAGAACGATAATCCGGAGGCGTCGGCGTAGTCGAATTTCGCGGAATCCAGGGCGCGAAGAAAGGTAAGGCCTCGCGGTGATAAGAGCATTGGCACAGGGTGGTAGGAGCTCGTTGAGGGATGGAATGGAATGGAATGGAATGGGGAGGGTAGTAGCGGTGAAGATAGGAGAAAGGGCAAAGTTGGTTCGGGGAACGGCCGTCGTTAGGGCGCTGCTACCCGGCGAGACGTCAGTTCGCTATCGCATCGCGACACGGTCGGATCTTCGCGAGAGCGTGGTGTGTCCTTCGTTAATGAGAGGAGTGGAACATCAAAGAGAAAGAGAGAGAGAGAGAGAGAGAGGGTGAGAGAGGGGGCGGGAGAGAGGGAGAAAGGAAAAGATAACTATAAAAAGATATCCACGCGTAAAAACGAGAAAACTAACGCGAAAAAGGATAGATAGATAGATAGATGTGATCGTTGTAAATAATTAGTTAAGAAAAATCCGGTTAAAAATGGTGAACGGAAATCGTAGCATTGAACCAATACCAACAAGAGGATAACAACAAGTGAGAAAGATATAAGAAGAGAAGGAGAAAGAGAGAGAGAGAGAGAGTGAAGAGGACAAGTATAATATATAGGCGCGAATTCGGATTAAAAGGTCGGCTCGAAAAGGTCCAATTGTCGATCGGTTTAATATTTCGCGACAATGCGCGTCGGGATGAGCCTATCGTGGATAACGAACCTTCGCGAATAAGAAAATAACAATAACGGGGTTGTTTCTCGAGAGTCGCGCGCCTCGCTCTGCAGCAGCGTGAAGTTCGCGAAATGCGAGGAGAGGGTACGAGGGTTAAGAGTTCGAGTTACTCGCGTGCATCTTCGCTCGTTGGCGGGTAATACGAACGAGAGGGGGTTGAAATCTTTTTAATGTATTATTCGTTATTATTCGTGTTATTATTCGTATTATTCGTCGTGTGCGCGATTGTTTGTGAACCAAGATAATAATAATAATAATAATAATAATAATAATAAATTTAATATAATAATATTAATAAGTAATAATAATAAAAAAAAAAATTCATAAAAATATATATATTAATATTTATAGTAATTATAATAATTAATAGAAAAGGTGTCAGAATAAATAAAATCTGTGTGTTCGTGTATACAAGAAGACGAAGAGACGGGGTGTCGTTTTAGTCGTGTTAGTGACGGAACAGTGTTTGTTTGAGATAGCGACCTCTTCATTGGAAGGAGATAGAAAACACGTGGAATAAAAGAAATAATATAAACGGACGTACGAGGAGAATCACGTCGTCAACCGTCGCATAGACCACAACTCGGAAAGGAAACGAACCTGACCCGCTTGCTGAAACGGGGGTAAGATAACGAACGACATTTTTGTCTCTTTCTTTCTTTTTGTTTTATTTCTTTCTCCCTCTTTCTATCTTCCACTAATTTTATTTTTTTCTTTAGTTGCACTCGACTTCGATGTTTCGACATCCTTTATCCTACCGAATTAATTTCAAACGTTCTTCCCACTCGCGGCACCGTGCCAAACGCCTTTTGCTTCTTAATGAAATTCTTTCGATGCTAGACTACTAATTGAAATTAGCCACTGAAATATATTCTTCTTATTATTTATCTACTACTACGAATACCAACCCATGGCATTATTCTTTTGTTACCTTTGCACATGTTATTTTTGTTTTTTTTTTTTTTGTTGTAAAAAGAAAGAACAAAGGGCGAAAGTAATTTTGGAGTCTGTTACATTTGTAAAGAAAGAAACGATTGAAAATTTGTAGTAGATACGTAAGTATCTACTTTGCTTGATTCACGTGTCACAAAAAGAATACATTTACAGGTTACACGTTTCTCCAGGGAATTTCTAAAAATCTTTCTTTACGATTTCAATGGCTTTCGAAATAGTTCAAGCTTTTTTTTCAAGTTCATAAGAATTCTTTTTCCTATTTCTCTCTTTATTTCTTTGACTTTTTCTCTTTAAACTTCTTTTCTCTCTCTCTCTCTCTCTTTCTCTCTCTTACTACGGATTCTCAGCGTCCCTCGTCTTTGCTTTGACGGACTGCGAAATGATCTTTCTCGTCTGACTCTTTTCTTTTGTACTACTTTTCGACAGGCGTTATCTCCTTTCCCTGTCATCCCTGTTTCATCCTACGGAAGAAAAAAAAAAAAAAAAGGGAACCTTGCTCGTGCGCTCTGCCTCCTGACTTTCTTTCATCTCTTTCTCTTTCTCTTTCTCTATTCCGGACCATTACATAAAGAAGATATTAGTTTACAATAGACACTTGTACGAACGTAGATGAAAGCTTTCCATGGTAGCACTTGTTCCATGTATCGATAAGTCCTTGGTATAATAGAACCTGTGGAATAATAGTTCTCTTACACTTTCTCATTCTTTCTCATTCCCTCTTGGTCTCTTCCCTTATATTTTTTTTTCTTCTTTTTCTCGGCCCTCCTCCTCTTCTTACTCGTCGGATAGATAAAACTTAAACATCAAAGGTAGAATCTACGTGACAAAAAACTAAATCCGTTATTTATCTTTTATTTTCAATGCACTCTGTAACATCTTTTATCTGTTTATTTTTTTTCTATTCTCTTTGTAAACGAATTAAAGAAATATGAATATATAATATAAATGAGATCGTAGAGAAAAGAAATCTATTATAAATATATATTGTTATATACGTATTCGTACACATATTTCTATATTATTGTTTAAGTTTCATTGGTTTATTTTTTAACAAAGATAAATTTATTTTCTAATTGTGTTCCACGAGAGTAATTGAATCCTATTTCTTATGAAAGAAAGAAGTTTTTAATAACTTTGACGAGTCGGGGGATAAGAAATTCGTTCATTTTTATTCTCACTAAGGATATTAACGTTAATTCGAGCATCCTGATGCAAAATGGCTGGCTGGTTCGTCATTAGGAATAACCAATTTAAACTGTGATATCAAAATTAGGTCGGTTTGCTTAACGTAAATGAAAGAAATTAATCAAGTCTCGTCTTTCGAAAAAGGTGTCGCGAACATAATGGTGAACATTAAGCCCACCTGCTTTTTATATCCCAACTTACGATCTTGATCGCCTAGTTCGCGTTATCTCGGTACACTACTTTTCTTCTTGTTTGTCGTGTCTGATAAATTACTCGGAAGCCGTAGTCCGCCATCCGTTATTTTTACCTTTTTAGACACGATCATCATCGTTTAAAATGAAAATTCTACGAGTACCATGTCTTCTTACTATTTTCATCGATTTGAAACACACTACGTCTAGAAATTTTTTTATTCAATTTCTCCTACTTCGAGATCTCGTTCTCGTCTTTAACAATAGTTTTTTTTAAGATCATATACTTTGAAAAACAATTGCTTGCTTCTTGTTCGTTGCTTGGCCAACGACGAGTTACGCGATGAGAACGTTTCGTCTAGTCTTTTTCTTTTGTTTTTTATCAAAGTTAAAAATAAAAGTGCTTTTAAAAAATCACTGGTACTCGAGGACGAACGCTTTGCTAGCTTTCAAAGAAGGGTGAAACAGATAAAAAGGATGTGTTTGCGTATGTGTGTGTGTCTGTGAGGTAGGAAAAGATAGAGTGCTAAAAAAGAAAAAAGACTAAGCCACGAAAAAATATACATTTTTGCGTGGACGGTTTAAACAAAACTGTGTTTTGTTTTTTGCTTACTTCTGATCCCTTGTTTTTAAATCTTAATATACTTCTAAGTTTTAAATCGTACTTTTATTGTATTTAAATGACTAAAACTTGTAATGGATGTGGTACTAGGGTTGCTAAATCAGTTATATGCAATTTTTATAATATTGCATCTCATTCATGCTGTCTTCTAGTCAGCCTATGTCTCTCTCTTGTCATGATTATGATGATATTAATAAATTCATGAATATGTCCACTCTGAGCAAAAGAAGGATGATATCTGATGCTCTATTTGCTTGTAAAGTTTTCAAAGGGTTTCTCAACAGCTCAGATATCATTCAGCTTTTCTTCTTCAATGTTCCTTATAAATATCTTAAGAATTATGACCTATTACACATCAGTACTCATAACACTTCGTATGCCTATCATAATTGCATTAATAGAATTTCTCAATCATTTAACCACTTCTATCAACTCATTGATCCCTTTAACCAATTCATATCTTCCATTAAATTTTGTCTAAACTCACTATAGAATTGTATAACTTTGTTTTTTTCTTTAGTCGTTATTACGTGCAACTTAATGTATATTTTATTTAATTCTTTATAATTTTTGTAAATATATTTATATATTCCTTTTATTTATAGTTATAATATTTCTCTGTATATATATTATTTATTTGTTATTTATCAATATTTATTTTTTTTGTTATGTAACAATGGGTAAAACCCGTCAATGCATAAATAAAATAACTTCAAACGTTTCCGAAGTGCTATCTGCTAATTCACAGCTGCACGCAACTGCGTTTCAACCTTTTATCTCGGAAGATACGTTGAATAGAATTTCCTGTTCCACGAATATTATTTCTCTGTCTTTCCATTTCTTTTTGTCTCCCTCCTTCGTTTTTTTCTCCCTCATTTCCCTTTGTTTTAACATCTGACACATTTTCTACATAGAAATAATAGTTGTTTAGTATGATCCAGTTTTCGTCAAATTTTCGCTATCGCACATAAATTCCGAGTTTATTTGAAATTTCGTTTGTAATTACTACGACTTACTTCCTGTTGATTGAAATTTACTTTGCATCTTCTACTTTTTCTTTTTTCTTTTTATATTTATTTATGTCACCGGTCTAAAGTTTGCAATCACTCGCTGATTTCCGTAAAAATTGAATACACCGATTAATTTTGAAGTGATACTACTCATAAATTTTGTTGACAAATAAATCAAGTGGATATTAATAATTGAAATTATTCGAAAATTAGATTTATTCAACGTGCTACGTTAACACCGATCTATTATATTTATCCTTTATAAATTTCGATACTTAAAATACTAAACATTAAACTTCTTTGATTCTACTCTAATCTTGCGTGTCATTCGACACCAATCGAATGTCGAACGTAGTTAAATCGAACTAAGATATATTACTTTTCCATGAAAAAAAAAAACCTTTATCTTCCGTAAAAAGATTTTCCATTTCAATAGAAACGAGAAGGAGAGATTCGTATTCGTAAAAATAACGTGGAAGACTATAGTTTAAAACATTCGAACGTAACTAACGTTAGCTTTTTCTACGTTAGAGAACTTCTCGATAATACGTCGAAACGATCAGTTTCTGCAGACAGGATTTGGGTTATGTTTAAAATGGAATACTTCGATGGAAGTTCTTCGATTTGTTATGAAGCTGAAAAGTCGTTTGACTTTCGTGCGTCGTTTGCTTCGAAACGATAGAAAGAGTGAAAGAATGTTTATATATGTGAGTGTGTGTAAGAAAGAAGGATAGATAGATAGATAGATAGAGAGAGAGAGAGAGAGAGAGAAACATGGAAAATGAAAAAGAGGGGAAAAATAAGAGCCGTCTTTTTTTTTCCTATTAATTTCCGTCCTGACGCGAACTCACTTATCTCTTTCTCGTTCTTATTTTCCTCTCTGTTGCTGTCAAATCGTAAAGTTAATATAAAAGCGAAACACGGCTTTATCGTCGATATTCGTCGACCGTATTTCGCAGACCGTACTTTACAATCGTCACGTCGCGTCGTCAAGCAAATCTTAAGGAACGATTTTTCTTCTTTATTGTTTCGCTTGGTAATTTATTTTTCGCGAGTGTTTAAACACCTCGGCGACGACAAGTCAATCAACGGAAAATGGAAATTGGAAAAGAAGTAAGATAAAATAAATGGGAAACTCGAGAAACAATTACGAATTAAATCTTTAGATTTTATAAAATATATTATATTATTGTGATGATGAGGGTGAATTGTGTATGTATGAGAAAATATGGTTAGAACGGTTAAAAACGGTTAGAAAATAATTCCGTTGTTGCGTAGACGCGTTTTTTTTTTTTTTTTATTTTCAGTCGATAACGTTTTGTTCAATCGGTGGGGATGACCGATGGTGGAGGAAAGAATAGGTATATATATAATGCGTGGCGAAAATGATTGACGGACAGTATGCTAATTGTATTGTAATTACGACGAGTGTTTTGCGAGAATATCGAAAAAGTTAAGTATTTTATTGTATCTTATCTTACATCTCCGTTAAGTACAGCAAGTAAATTAATTAAGATCAAAAATACTTACTAGATTTTATTCTATCTTATCTTATTATATTCCATTATATCTTATATTAAACAATATTAAATAAATAAAATAAATTTATATATATATATAAATACATATAAAGAGAGTATTATTATATATAAATGCATAAAAATATATATATAAATTTGATAGATGAAATTATTTATATTTTTCACTTGCACGAAATCTCATTGTATTATTTTCTTATTTTTTTTCTTAATATTTAAAAGATTGTTGTATATGAAAAAAATCTTAACCCAATTGAAGAATTATATATTTATTATATAATATTCCACATTCTGATATATATTTACGATAAAAATATATAATATAATTAATCTCGATGACAACAAAAACGCAATATCTTTGTTGAAGTCATTTTGAAATTGAATGAAACAAAAGGAGGATCGTGGATAGGATATAGTTGATGTTCCACAAAGAAGAGTCTTTCACCTCTCAAGAGGGAAACACCGTAGAAACACCGAAACAGAAGACAAAGCGAGGAAAATGTAGGCTTCTCTCGTGGATAGTTGGATGCCGCTCGGGTTGACACACAAAGTGCAATGCGCGCGTTGCATCACGTTGACGACGGTGCATCGAGTAAGAACGTTTCTGGATGAAAAGAGATACGAAACGCCCTATGTACCGCCCTTTCTCTCTCCAAGGGCTCGTTTCGTTCGTTTCACGTGTTCACGAGAGAGTGAGAAGGATGCTGCTTTAGTCTCTATCTGTTATTTTTTTTTTTTCTTTTTTTTATTCTATTTTACCCTTCGTTTCTCTCTGCAGTGGCGGGAAATACGAAAAGGAAAATAAATGTAAAATAGAGAGAAAGAAGATGAAGCGATAAAGAAAGAAAGAAAGGAAGAATAAGAAAGAGAAGAGGAGAAAACGTTTTGACAGTGAACATCGCTTGTGATTTGAATAAATGAACCGCGTTATACACACACACACACATACACGTTTGTTGGAGGACGTATGGGAAATACTATGGTAGCAGCCGGTCCATAGCGAGCCATTTCGTTTACGGTCCTTGCTATAAGAAACGGAACAGAACATCACGCCTTCTACGGATCTATTCGAGGAGAAAAGAAATAGAAAGAGACGGACAGACAAACAGAGACAGAGAAAGAGAGAGAGAGAGAGAGAGACAGAAAGAAAGAGTGAGAACACGGTATCTCGACGTGACGAATGAGTAGTTTCCCGAAATCGTCTTTCTCTCTCATTTTATTTTCTAGAAATGAGAAAGAAAGGAAGGAAGAAAGAAAGAAAGAGAGGGAAAGAAAGTGTGTAGAGAAAATCAAGCATGAGATTCACGCGATTCTCCCTTGGAATTCGTATTTTCCTTAAATTCGAGATTGCCCTTTTCTCTCGTGGGCCACTTTGCAGAAAAGAGAAAAGCGTGCCGTTGCTAAAAGCGAAGCAACCTATATATTTTTCCTTCCCTCTCTCTCTTTCTCTTTCTTTCTTTCTATTTTTCTTTACTTTTTCCTCTTTCTTCGTCGTCGTTTTCGTCGTCGTCGTCGTCACGCTTCTCTTTCTCTCGATAAGACTCATCTTTTGGACCTTACTAGCACACGAAACTCACTCTCACCACCATCTCTGCTTCTGTATCTGGTTTTCTGATATAACGCGTTACGTTGGAAAGTTTAGAGGATTACCTAGGTATTGTGTGTAACTCGCTCTCAACTTGGCTCTTTTATTATGTCGGATTCTACAGATAATATGAGTTTCTTTTTTGCGCGTGCACTCGAACTCGCTTTGTCGATTTTCGATATGAAAGTACTGAAAGTTATATTCGTTTTAATACATTTTTTTGTACCCTCAGTCTGTCCTTCTCTTTCTCTTTCTCATTTCATATTTTTTCTGTTTTACATTGCATTATAAACATAAGTACAAAGCGTAACGATCTTGAAACGTAATTGAGATTTTATTTGCATTTCGAAAATTAGATAAATATGAACTAGAAGTATATTATCTCTCATACATTTTAACGCACAATACTGTAGTATTATATAGAATGTAAGAAATAAATGTGTGTGTTAAAGAAGTAGTAACTTTTCTTATAGAAAGTATACGATAAGTAACGGTTATTAGCTTTTCTAAAATGTTCACATTCCTTTTGATGATTCACGTTACTCAAATTGTAACAAAATAATTGTTTTCTTAATCGTTCATTATTAGATCTTTATTTTATTGATCAAAGAAACTTACAATATTTCCTAAAGTCTAATTGAATTCTTTGAACAGAATAAAATTATTCATTAACGCTTTGAGAGTTTTAATGTCAGATTAGTATTGTTATTTGATGTATTTCTAGTCTTTGTATTTGAACACATTATTATGTGGCTATTTGCTTGTTGCACATACATTGAAACATCGTTCTTAGTTCTATGACATTTCAGAAGTTAGTTTTGCCATTAAACGAAAACTTACTCTTCAAAGGTTTAAGACCAAAGAGAGAAAGAGAGAGAGAGAGAGAGAGAGAGAGAGAGAATAATGAGAGAGCATATGTCTTTGGTGTATAATATAGTCTTTCCTTGTTTGCAGTTCAGCTTCAACGTATGAGGGAAACGTATTATGTGAGGTGAAATTTAAGACGAGGGAAACGAAGATGTCCACCATCAGCGTTGCGACATGGTTACTCGGAGTTGTTGCTCTGACGACGATTAATAACGGTAAGTCATTTGTAATAATACCGATTTATCGATTACCAATTTTTCATGAATTCGCCAAATTTTTAACTTCATCAATTGTTTCTTGTTATTGATGTAATTTAATTTGTAAGAACGAGATATTATATTTGAAGACCATTGCCATAAATTTGGCCACATATTTTAATTGAAATAATTAATTATTATAACGATTATTATTACGCTAACAGGTTAATTAGATTTTTCCAATAGCAACGTAAAAGCTCTACTTTTAAATTAAATATCAATTTTCTTCGGTGAAGAATAATATATTATTAAATTTAGTTATATAGAAAAAAGAAATTTTCTTACACTATATATACCAATTCGTGATTCCAAATAAAAAACGATGTCGTTCATTAATATGCATGTACCTATAACGGATACATTTGTAAATAATCTAACTTTACTGAGTTGCCAAGTTCCTTGATTTATGCGAAAAGGTTTTATACCTTTATCACCTCGAAGAACCACGTTTTACGATTTAAATACGAAATAAACTACACACGCGTTTTTACATTGTCAATTTTTTTTTTCCTTCCTTGATTACATTAGCAAAGTTAAAAGAAATAGGGAAGGGGGACAAAAAAAATTTGTCTTTTTATACTTTGTATGTTCCGCGTTTCGTAGATCCTGCTGATAGAATGTAAAATTCGCTAACTGTATCCAAGCAGCATTTCAACTGCGTTGTAACGTTTTCAAAAGCGTTTCGCTCGTTAATTTTGCATGGAACGATCGAAGTTACCCATTTGAATGATGCTCGTTATTTTCCCCTTTTTTTTTTCTCTCTTATTTCTTGTCATCATTGCGTTTACTCTCTCTCTCTCTATCTTTTTCTCTTATTTCTTGTCATCGCTGCGTTTACTCTTTCTGTCTCTGTCTCTCTCTCTTCCTCTCTTTCTCTACCTTTCTTTCTTTCTTTTATATCTTACGGCGAGACATAGCAGCGGTATTTAAACGTACAATTGGAGTCCTTCATTATTGTCCGCGAGGCTGCAGATTGTTTGAGAAACAATGGCGTGTCGCTTGGAAAAGCGTGAATCCGTGCTTACACCTTGCCGTACGCTGCTTTTCGCACGTTATAATTTTATTATTGCATTTGTCATTCATATTCGAAAGAAGAAGAAGAAGAAGAAGAAGAAGAAAACCGAAAGAAAGAAAGAAAGAAAGAAAGAGACAAAATTTCAACCATTCTTTTTGTATCTCTCTACGTTAGATTAAATATTTTTTCCTTTATCGTTAACTATAAGTATTATACGTATTTTATATTGGTTTAATTGAACGATACATAAATAAGAAAAAAGAAGAAATCTCTGTGAAAAGTTTTGAAACAAATATTATATATTATGTGACATACGATAGATAAGAAAATTTTACGTGACTACGTAGCAATCGATTTGAACACAATTTACAGACGAAATTCTTGGCAAGAAAGTAATCGTTAACGATAACGATACACTATAAGTATCTTTTATAAAAATGTCAGAGTTTATATCGACGTTTATAGAAGCAAAGGTGGTGGTGGTGGTGGTGGTGGTGGCGATGAAAGTGGTGGTAGTGGTAGTAGATGTTGTGTAGTGGTGGCAAAACGTTTGAAACTTCGAAACGTCCTACGCGACTTGATTTATCGTCTGAGCTCCCACATGGTTCCTAGTATTTTCTATGGAAGGTGGGAGTCTAACGATGCGATATACGGACAACTATTTACGACGACCATTAGCGAAGTACCAACCGAGAGGATTTAACTGCAGTCACCGATAGTGAAAAATAAAACGATTTTTTAATAATATTCTTCATTTATATCGTAAGCACGTTTAGGCCGATAGTTAGATTTCATCAAATTTTTTATATTTTTTCTCTTGTATTTTCTTCTCTCTCGTCATAGATGAAAAAGATAAATAATTTTTGAGAATTTATTTCTTTTTCTTAGTCATTATCAATTTGATTGCCAGATCGTTGGATCGTTTTTTTTTAGCAATTATGTGTTATCTATAAAGATATAACCGTGCATTCTAAAACATAAAACATCACAGTTACTATTTTTTATTGCCGTAAATTTTCATTTGTGATCATAGGTATATTATAACTTTTAATTATTGTAGAATAATATTTTCATAAGGTTTTCTAACGTGTTTGTTCACATGAATAATTTGATTTCCACAAATCTAAAAAAATGTAAGCGTGGTATAGTATTTTCTAAAGGTTATTATTGTCACACATATCTGGTTCCTTGTATACGCCCACAGATTTGATAAATGTTTTATCGACTCGAATTCGTCACGAACTATTTTACATATGCTGATATGGACAAAAGAAGATACAAATATCTCTTCGTTTTTTTTTTCCGCTCTTTCTGTTTTATTTCATGTAACTCGAATTTAAAATTCAAGGCTCTAGCATTATCGGTTATCTCGAATTTTTATTTACCGTTTTTTTTTTTCTTTTCTTTGAACTCGACTACCGTTCGTTCTTCTTTTTCTCTTTCGATTCCTGTCAATAGTAGAATAGGAAAAAATTTCCTCGCGTGGGAAATACCGTTTTCTACGTTTTTTCTTTTTTCGAATCAATGCGAGACTGATGTTGGTAGAAAATTTTGTGTGAATGCGTATATAAAATCCGAACGTTCATCGAGGTTGAATTGTTGGAAAAGAAATCGCAGGAGGAGGGGGGGATGGGAGAAGGGAGGAGGTTGTGGGAGGTTTCGATTGAGATAGGAATTCTGGGAAAAACGATACAATGATTTAGAATTGAAAAGTACGTTTGCGTTTTTTATTCTGTTAACACGAGCATTAAATTTTAGTACGGGCTTTTGATCAATTAGAACATAGAACTTGTCTTTGTAAAAGTTACTTTGCTATAGACGTTCTTTTCGTTATATTATATATAGAGAGAGAAAGAGATATCGAAACGGTTTGTTTTACGATCTGATATTAAAATTTGACGTTAACCCTTTTGTCGACTAATATTATTGTAAATTGAAATTATTTTATTACAAATTCGAATCAGAAAACCAGAAATTCTTGGAAACATCAACGACATCTGACAAATTAATAATCTTGACTGTCAACTTATTTAAAAGGTTATAAAAACATGTCTTGTCGTATCTAATTTTATTTCAACTTTCCAATAATACGAGCATTTAATTATCTTTTAGTCGAAAGTATGTTTTTTTTTTTTTTTTTTTTTTATTAATATTTATAATGAAATCAATACATCTCGATAAAAAATTTTCCATTGAAAAAATAGAGCGAATTAATCGATCAATTTGATAGCATTAAAAAAAAAGGTCGGCTTAAAAAAAAAAAACAATACAAAACAAAACGGTATGGAGAGTAAGAGAGAAGAAGGGTTGGTAGTCCGAAATAAATAGAAATTCTTAGAGTATCCCGTGCTATCAAGCACGAGCATACTCTTAGAAAGAAAGAGGAATAAAAGGATCCGTGACAAAGGCCATTGTGCATTCGCTCGACGGGCAGTGTCATCCAGTAGCGAATGAGAGTAAAATTCCCGGGAAGGAAATAATAATCCGCGAGCATGTAAAAAGCTTGCCGCCTTTGATGTTGTTATTGACGTTGCTATTATATGAAAGAGGATCGCCGATTATTACATACACACACCTACACACATTCTTATACATCTATATAGGATATTGATATTACATATATACAGATATATTAGATAATATATATATGTATATATACTCAAGGAGCGAGTGAGAGAGAGAGAGAGAGAGGGATACACGCATGCACACATACAGAGACACGTAAATCCCCATTATCCTCATCTTTGTTAGAGCAATGTTCTTGTGTTTGCACGAGCATGTATTTCTCGTTTAACAAACAAGCAGTAAGTTGAACCCTTTCTCGATAGTCTTCCTTCGAAAATTCGGAATCGTTATCACGGATCGGAATCATTAAAACGAGAATGCTTGCTGTTTTACGACCGTTCTCTTATACATGCATGTGTATTTACCTGTATACATATATACATCATACATACATACATTTTGCTTGCTTTAGGTGTGTCCTTCAACGTGTACGGGTATGTGTACACGCGCTTATACAACTCGTTGGTTCTCGTCTCGAGCTGCGGGCAATAAACACTCTTTTTTGCGAGCAAACAATGCAGTGACACGAGGCGAAAAATTAACGAGGCGCAGGCCAAATTCAAACTCGTTTCTCTCTCTCTCTCTCTCTCTCTCTCTCTGTCTCTGTCCCTCCCTCCCTTCCTCCCTCCCTCCCTTACTCACTCACTCACTCTCGTGTATACTACTATATTTCGTTCCTCTTGATTTTGAAATCCCTCTCCACTGAACGAACTCTTCCACGTTTTACCTCCTTCTTCCCACCGAATTCGTGGAAGCGTAAAACCAAGGGTGAGCAAGTCGCTCGCGAAATCCTTCACCGATATCTCGTCTCCCTCTTGATAACTAAAATTCTTTCTAGCACTTCGTTATCGTACTTGCACTCTCGAGGGTTGTGAGGATCTCTTCAATAGGTAGAGTAGTACACACTTCGGTTGTTTTGTATAGAAAAGGCGATGGGAGTTAAAGTTAAGATCCATTGTTACGTTAATTTAAACTTTGAAAAGAATATATACTCGTGTACTCTTTTTTTCTTCATCTTTTTTCTTTCTTGTCTTTCTTGTCTTTAATTAACGTCTTCGTATGTATGTGAGTTGCATTACGTATTGTATTTATAAAACATATGCCAATCACATATGTACGACATTTCCAACGAAACACAAAATTACGTTCGTTTATTTTTCTCCCTTACATTAGCCATTTACGTAAATTCGTACATCAAAGAGAATTTTGAAGGAATGTTTTAGATAAATTGCAACTCCGGTAAACTCGTTAAGTTAGTTACAATTTTTCGAAAAATTACTTCCTACCTACTAATTACCTACAATTAGGATTGATATTTTCTAATAGAAAGTGCTGCTTGCATTCGCGTACGTTCGAAAAGAAATAAAAATAAGAACGA